TTTTTCACCATCCCTTCCGTCCTTCCTTTACTATCTTCCATTTTTCTTTTTCTTTGCCCCAAGCAGCCCTCCTATTTTTCTCTGTTTTTCTATTTCTGCATCTCTATTGAGTTGATCGTCGGTCACGAGTTTTCTATTTTTCCTGATCAATCTCACCTCCAAGATCACTACTCTTGGTTTAAATGTAAGATTTCTCCATGTTCCTCTATGTTTTTCTCATGCTTTCTTTTCCCAGTTCATTCGTCTTTTTTCTACTCTATTCTTTTCCATCCAATTATTTTCCATCACTTAATCTATTTTATACTTCAATATTCTCTTTTTTCTTTTTTATTTCTGGAAGATTCAAGTCATCCATTTGACCAGATCAAATACAAACAGCAAGTCACTGGAGAGGTCGCCGACGAACAGTACCCTCAATCATTCTTTGTTCTCTGCTCTTTCCCTTTCTTTCTCTTCCAAAGACACGGAATTTCAGAGGTTTGGCTGTATTTAATTGAATGGTTTCTTAGAGGCTGTATAGTTGACGGAGTCGATGAAGTGTAACGCTGAAAAGCGGTTCCAACTAAGGCACCACCACTTCTTAATATGCGGGTGATTTCAGCAATCTTTGACAAGTTCAATTGTGCAGTGTCATGGTATGCGAATGGCAAGACAAACTATAAAGAAAATAATTCAAATCACATTTATAAGGTGAAAGTAACCACAATTCACATTGAAAGAAGCGAAACTCAAAGTGAGGATTTCTGTTTGAAACTTCGACCGGGAAGAAAACAGAGTGAGGATTTGAGGTTAAGAGCAGTGGAAAAGATATTAATTCCAATATCATATGGAATAGGATATGGCATGGTATTAAAACTCAAATTAGGTGGATCGGCTAGACTAGTAAAGTGATCCCAAGCTGGTCCAGCTGGGAGTTTTGAATGGGTCGAGTATATTAGACTTTATACTTTTTCTCCCATTGTTGGGCCTGAACTGATGTTGTTTTGAGCTAGGAAAAAAAAAAGAGTCTGTCATATTTGTGCTTTATTAACTACATTTCGTCAGATTATCTGTGTTTCTTTCATGAATGTTCTATTTACTCGTTAATTAATTCCTTTTTTATTTAAATATTATTTTTTTCAAGGTTATATGTAAATATTTTTGTATATTAATTAAATTATATTATTTTAATCATGATTGAGTTGACTTAGTTCAACCACAATTAGACTAATGACTCTTGAATTACTCCTTCAGTCCTTAATATAAGACTCATTTAACTAATTTGATTAGATTAAAGAAGTTAGGTAAGTTAGTTAATTATAAGAAAAGTGACACATTTTTCTTAAAACACTATAATCATTTTTCTTAATACTCCCTCTCCTTCTTCTACTTGATTATGGTTGAGGGGATATTTATAGGGGTAATTTAGAGAAAAATGATAAATATGATAAATGGGTCTTATATTTAGGACCAAAACCAACTCAAGAATTGGGTCCTATATTAAAGACCGAAGGAGTAATATTTTGACCAGTTGCATGACCAGTCAGTATTTTAGTACCTTGGGCAATGTTGAACATTTCATTTTCATCATGCCCACAAAGATGGCACTTGTAGCAATGGAGGGAGAAGGCCGACAATGCAAGGCTGCACCGGCATGAACGGCATCAACTGAACCAGATGAGAAAGGAAGCCTAGAAACATCTGCCCTTACCAGACCAATATTACTGCCAACAATCAAACAAAACTGGATTCCTTATACAAGCATACACCAAAAGAATAAGGGTTAAAAACATTGGATTTCTGATGTTTAGTTACATTGAATTTAAATTCAAGCTGAGGAAAAAAAGGAAAACCATACTTGGTTGAAATATTGTCTTGCTTTACGAAATTGTAACACTCATGAAGCATATTCTCAGAAAAATCTAGAGCAATGACACCAGAATAAACTCCAGATTTGGCGAATTTTCGGGAAAACAAACCACTTCCAATGTTAACATCAACAGGAACTCCGCCTCATCAATGATTTTCAAGTATTGGCACGTCACAATCGTAGCAAAGGGGCAATGATAGCATACCTCTTCATGAGGGCCAGGAAAACCAGTTTGATTGAAAATCTGACGCCAGCCTCTTTCATAAAAGAATGAAACAAGTGGATTCCTAATGGATTATTAAAACAATGAACTCCTTTAATTGGACCACAGCAAGTGACTCTCATGTTGTCATAATGTAAGTTATACCACAAGGACATGTGCCAAAAGCCTGCAAAGGATACCTGTTCACAAAAATATGTGCCAAGAGTCTCTGAAAGGGATATGTATCCAAACACTTCATGTTTCAAATCAAATGCAAGTATAAATCATATTCTTGCTTAAAGCTGTCAATTCAATGATGCACACCATTGAAGCATACAGACTTGCTATGAACCTCACATGAAGGAGAGATGCTATGTTTGAGACGTTTCCAGGACCATCCGACACATGAAAAATTCTAAAACGAGTCAATCTAATCACCAAGAGTACAAAAAACAAAGTTTACAATCTTAAAATTATTGCTACTACGATCAAAACCAAATCCTACACTGCAAAATTTTTATGCCAAGTCATCATGAGGGGAAGACATACATATTTTCAAATAATTGGGCTCCAAAAAATGAATTTGAAAGGTCATCTTCGGACAAAACATTCCAACTTATTGCTTGCACCTATAACTTATGTGCCTTTAAAATCATCGGTGGTAGGACTCTCCATGGTGCAAAGTAGATCAAATTGATCGTTATCACTATGCGGTGAATTTTGAAGTTACAAAACTTTAACAAGAAGGACTTGATTTGTGGTGACAAACTCATTCCAATCTTTGCAAACAAAAGGAGATCATAATAGAGTTTGACCACATTGAAATAGGATTTGAGCGTCTAGCCTAGGTAAAATTGCTTCAACCACATCACAAGAAATAAAAGCAATGTCGCCATTTGAGACAGTGAGTAGCATTACTCTCTTGGAAGGTTTCATGACCTCGTTGCCGTTGAGAGGCAGAAAAGGTTTGAGATTGATGGGCATGAGGCGTCTAGGGTCCGGGTTGGGCTATATTAATATAGTTACTATTAATGCATATATATATTAATTAATGATTAATTGGAAAATTAGAGGGATATCGCCTAGAGATAATAATATTTATTAGAGAATCGCGAAAACTTTAATTATTTAGAAGGATCAAATATTATAAATATAAATTAAAAAAATATTAACTTACGCCTCACTGAATCCCTATATTTCTTATAATCACATATCATGGACCCCATCATATTTCATATCTCAAGGTATTGGTCTATTTGATTAAAAGTAAAAATTTATCAAAAAGATATGTAAGATATTTTGAATAAATAATAAAAGATTTTGATTTGATTTTAATAAATTTTGTTGCAAATATTGATTAAAAAAATATTACAAAGAGTTTTAGCATAAATTAAGACGACTATAAAAGAAATTCTATTCAATAAAGATGTGATTAGAAAGAATTGTAAGGATTCAATTAGGGGCAATTTAGCACTTTTAAATTTAGATTTTGATATTTGGTCATTTAAAATTTCAATTAAAAGTCAAACTATTTTACAAATAAAGGAATGTAGAGGGAAAAAATTTCAAAATCTTTCTTCTAAATCTAAAATATAAGATAAAAATAAATCTTTTTTGGCCAGCAAAAATAAAAATAAGTCTAAATATACACAAAGTGGTAAAGATTAAAATAAATCCAAATCATGCGTGGGGAGGTCGATGTCTTAAACGGGAAGAATTTTTAAATTTAGTTCATTCTCACACGTAACTATATATTCAAATTCAAGAGACTAATTAACTATAACTAAGAGTATAGAATTTCGTTGTAATATTGTATAAGATATGTGTAAACAGCTGGCAGTACAAGTTTCACTGTAATAAAGTTTATGGCGTGATTAATTGTCTGGTTAACAATGAGTTTTTATCAATTCTTCCTATATGCCAATACAGAACATTTTAAACTTAATTCCATATTTGATTCAATAATTGAGACTTTGATGGTTTGTGTTGCATGGTTAATTTGTATTGTAGATTTAATTAGAATGGTTCAATTTTTCTTTTACTTTCATTTTTAAAAAAATATTATTTATTTTAATATTATTTTAAAAAATTATCAATTGAATATTTTAAATTTAAATGGTTGAAACTGTGTTTGGATAGTACAGATTTCAGGTCTTTAACACATCCATGAGCAACGACTTAACTAATAATTTAAGAGTTATAAACAAAATTGAACAATATATTAGTTCTACATTATGCCCAAATACCCCCCCCCAATAAAAAAAATTTGGCTTAGGGGCAACAAGCATGAAGAGTAGATTTGGATAGAAAGCCTCACTGCTGCTGGCCTTGGCATGCTAAGTTGCTTGCTTCCTCTTCTTTCTGCCTGTGCCTTCGCTTTTCATATTACTAGCAGTTATGAGTTTATAGTCAGAGCAAGACATTTCATTCATTTTCCCAAATCTTCTTTCGTAGAAGTCCCATAGTTCAGACCTGGCCACAGGAGAACCACGTTAGGAAATTAACTTGCATGGAAAGGTCCATTATAGAAACACGAAAGAGTACCACTAAATAACATGGCTTAAATTCATTTTTTGTTCCTCTAGTACTATAAAGTTTTCAGTTTCCGTATTTTGGTTTTTGCTTTCCTTCTTGTTACTTACCAGTATGCCAGGAATTGGTACGGCTCGTACTTTCCATAAATTTCTTCAACATCTCTCTGAACTGTTTGGGTTGTGGATTTTCTCGAATGAACCTGCATTTGCATCTCATGCATAAATATCAGGAGCATTTGACAAATTGACAAATTGACAAAGAAAACAGGAAATGTTTGACACTAACACCTGTTTCAAATGCCTAATCGTTTCAGAATCGGTTGGAATAACATGGTAGTAGCCCATGCACATAAGAACATTGGCACGAGTAAAAGGGCCAAATCCCTCGATTTCTTTCAAGTGGTCCGTTAGTTGGTTATAGCTTGATAAGCTCGCATCTTTAGAAAGTTCTTCAAGTAGTCCTATTTGAATTCTACCTTCAACAATGGCTCGAGCAAGTTTTACTATCCGCCCTGCCCTATAACCAAGTTTGCATCGCTTCGCCAGAAAACTCTCATCAAGGTTTGCTAGCTCTTCTGGGGATGGAAAATTCCCAATACCCTCGTTAGCAAAATAGTCTCTTCCATTAGAGAACCCAAGAGATGATTCGTCATCCGTGCTTAACTCCGTTGAATTTTCACAAGATTTGCAATGCTGACTTGGATTTCCATCAGTATCAGTTGGATGCAAGCTTGAGTTCAAACTTGTTGCAGGGACATTGTCTTCCCGCGAATTTTCATCTCCTTCGAAGTCCAGTTTCTTCTTAAGAAACTTGCTTTCAGAGGAAAAGCCAGAGGTCCTATGTGTTTTCTTGGTTTCTTTTGTCGCTGGTGTCTTTGGAACGTAGTCTCCATTCTTAGCTTTTTCTTCTTGACTGTTAGAGACTGTGGCTCCCCCTTCAACAATCGATGGGAAGGAGCACACATTGTCCAGTTCCGGCTGAAGCTCACAAAGTGCCTGAGCCATGCTCAAAGTCCTCGACCACCTGAATTTTTCTGTTTGTTAGTTTGGGATTTCTGAACAGAGTGGAGTCAAGTAATCGTTATTGGAGTAGAAGGTGAAGCGGCAGAGTTTCTATTCCATTATTTACAAGTTTCATAAAAAGATGGCCAGTGACTTTCTTAGATTGAAATCCTCTGAAATTAGAAGTTTGTAAAGTGTCTATCAAGCAAGGAAGATAGAGAATATAAGAGGCAACTTCCATACACACTCTCACATCTTGGATCACAATACCTTTTATCTCATCTCAGAAATCACTTTAGAGTTATAAATTATTACGGAAATCTGTGTTTTGTTAATAAGAAGAAAAGGGAGGAAATAAGAAATCCCAGAAGCAAGAAATAAAATGAATTGAGGAACAAGTTTTCATATCTTCATTTCGGCATTATGTCAATCACATGGTGTGCCAGCCACCAAGTCGGAGTCACTAGACAGATCATGAAAGACAGTAATAAACTCACTGGCAGTTGCAGAGGAGGATGCACTTGACCATATCCTCAAACAATGTGGGAGACCTAAAGACTCTGCCGTTAAAGCTTTTGTTCTGATCATCATCGCCATGCATGGATATGCTTCTGAACTCCCTCACAGCTTTCTCTTCGGTCTCTGACAGACGCAGCATTCTTGACACCTGAGCCTGGCCACATCAGGGAAATTGATGACGATATTTTTCTTCCTATGAATAAAATAACTCACACTCCCTCGTAACCCTAAACCCAAGTCGAATTGAAATCAATTTTTTCCCGTTCAAATACAAAAAGCAACAACTGAGCAGAACACATTCGCAATATTTGTGTCTGTATTTCCCAAGTGATGTTCAAGAGCATTGATCAGTGGTGATACCAGTAATGCATGTTGTTGTTGAGGAGAGATGAAGCTGGTGCCATGAACTCGAAGATTGAGCGAGCTGGGACGATGCGAAGGCTGAGCAATGGTGACGATGACAGATCGAAAGAGAGACGAGGAAGGGGAGGAGCGATCACCGGAGAGAGGTAGACGGAGAGGGCGCGTGAGAGTGTTGGAAAGAGGGTCCCAATAGTTAGGAGCCATCATAAAGAGGCCATGGCTGCACACAGCTTTCTTCAATTGGAACGCTTCTTCTGATATCCCCAATGGAAGCTCCAACTCGCACCACCGCCATGGAGGACCACTTGCCATTCTTCCTTCCTCTTCGACGTCGTGTTTTGGATCGCCTCAGTTACAGAGAGCTTTTTCTTCTCCTTCGTCACTGTGCTATTTTTGAGACCAGTTTCCCATGAAGCTGCGTCCCAGACTCTCAGTGATCATGCCCGCACACAAATATAGCCGTTAGTCGCTCCTTCCCTTCCCCCCGCCCAAAAAAAAAAACCAAACGTTAGTCGCTCCTTCCTTTTTTATTTTTTGGCCTGAATTTATATATCTTAGTTTATTATTATACTCTTTCGGTTTTAAATATAAAATTTTTTATAGTATAATTTATATTATAAAAAGATTATTATATTTAGAATCGGAGAAATATAATTAATCTGTTCAGTTTGGAAAAATAAAATCATATTTCATACTAGAATATAACGAAAACAATATATTTCAATTATATACACACACAAAAGGTCAAATCTATTAAATTATTTTCTTCTAAAATAATTCTTTTATTTTATTCCTCAAAATTAATTCAAGATATGTTATATCTTTATCATCATTATCATTATTACTCTCTTTAATCCTACATAAGTTTTTTTTGAAAATATGTCGTATTCCTATTTACAAAGAAATCCTAATACTATGTACCAAAAAATATATTAATAATATGTCTGAAATTTTTAATATTGTTTTTTTTACCTTCATTAATCGTTCTTTAATCTCATTACATTAATTATCTATTATTCTTTTTTATAAGTAAGGATGTTTTGAGAAAAATAAGTTATATTTTTTTTATATGTTTATTGTCTTTAATTTAATTAATTTTTTATTCAATTTATTTCATATTATAAAAAAAGATGATACTATTTCGAATCTTGGGCTGCCCATGGAAACTGCTCGGGGAGTATTCATTTTAGATACATTCTTACATTAAAAAAAACCCCAAAATCCAGGCATGACTTCTTTTGGGCCTTAGGTGATAGGTCTAAGCTTGTATGACGTAATTGGGCTTAATCTATTCTAGTAGCTAAATTCAACCTATTTAAACCAAAAAAAAAAATACCTATCGTCCGTGGGTTCAACTGGTGAAGGGGTGAGACATATGACCAAGTTGGCATGTGTTCAATCCCTGTAGAGTACCACTTTGTTGTGGTTCCAGTCGTAGCGCTTGGGGAGGCATCCTAGCTCTTAGGTGCCTAGGTAAACGCCTGAGGGTAATTGACGGCTCGCCCTGCCCAACATTTGTATGACCTAAGAGGAAGGGAGATTTCGCCCTGCCCTTGGATCGTGGGTAAGCCCAACCCCTTTCCAAAAATTTTTGTAACAAAAAAAAACCAACAGGGGTTGATCCGAGTGGTAAGCGGCTCGGTTTCACTTAAGTGAGATCTCGAGTTCGATTCCTCATGGATGCAGAAGCCCCCGCTGGGCGACTCACCCACCATACCCAAGTGCGCGACGTGGGTCAGATCTGGACGTAGCCAGGTAAAACTCTGGTGAATCGAATCGAATGGCGAACCAAACAAAAAACAAAAAAAAAAAGGGGAAATTTCACTGTAGGACCGCAGAAGACAAATAATTTCAAAGAGCCCCCAAAACATTCTGAAATCTCACTGCAGGACCAAGGGGCCAATCTGATATTAATTCCACAAGCGAAATGACGCCACTACCCCTCATTTTACTTCCGCTGAAATTTGAAAATAAGGCGAAAAAGCGACGGTCAAAAGTCCTCCCACTCTCTCTCTATATGCGAACGTAACCCGTGTGCGAAAAGTGTTCCCTCTCCCGCTCTGCGAACGTGCAACCACTCTGGGAAAACTGCTGCGTCTCTCGGTCTGCGAACGTGCTACCACTCTATGAAAAATCTGCCCTCTCCCGACTGCGAACGTGCTACCTCTGTGGGAAGATTCCTGCCTCTCGCAATCTGCGAAAAGTGTTCGACGTGGCCCCAAAAATTCCATCAGCTTCAATCTGCGGGTTCGTGGTAATCACTAGAAGCGGAAGGAGAATAAGAAGAGGCCGACAAAGGAGGAAACTTGCAAGGCTATCGACAAAGAAGGAAGAACCAGGGCGAGAAGAAGTCACTGATTTCCATTTGGTAAGCTTCGCGGTCCCGTTAAATGCAGTAGATTTCTTGGATTTTGTTTTCATGGTAGGTTAAGGAGGAATGACCCACTGAAAGGTGGGTGTGTTTGGTAATGACATTTAGGTTCTAACCCAGGAATGATTACCAATGTGTCACATAGTTTTCGGCCATTTCCCTGACTGCCCTTTAGCAAATGCTCCTGATTTAGTGAGCGAACGCTTGTGAGTGTAGCATGAAGAGTTTGTGTGGGGGCTAAGTAAGAAAGTTATTTAAATTATTTAGGGAAAAATTAGTGTTGGTAGTTAACTGCATTGCTATAGTGTTTGTAGGCATTTTGCAGGAATAAGGAAAAGAATTGGGAGGGGCAAATGTTGTCGTATGGATTAGGCAAATGAGTTTGTTTTGTTTGGTTTATCCCGTTGATTGTTGGAATGTGAGATTTTGTGGGCTAACAATGGGAGTTAGTCAATTGACGTGAAGAATTAGTTGACTAACCAGTTGCATGTGACAACCTCATGTTTGTTGGAATCTGATTTGTAGTGGCCTCACAAGGAAAACTAGGAAATTGACACGAGGAATTAGGGGTTTATCCAGTTAGCTTATGTCAAACAGTTTTCATGTTTCCGGGAATCTGTCAAGTTAGGAAATTTACATGGAGAATCAGTAAATTACCCACAAAGTTTGTGGGAATTTGGTGTGCAGTTGCCTGACAGGGAAAATTAGGCAATTGACACCACGAGTGAGCTGGATTTCCACTTAGCTTATGTGTAACTGTTTGATGCGTGGTGGACTGAGAAAGTTAGGAAATTTACCTCGAAAGTTAGTTAATTAACCACCTCTGCTGCATAATTGCATGTTTGTGGGAATGTGGTTTGCAGCGGCCTCACAGGGAAAATTAGGTGATTGAGACGAGCAATTAGGTGAATTTGCACTTAGCTTCTGTTTAAGTGGTTGATGTGTGGTGGACTCTGGAAGTTAGGGAATTTACATGAAAAATCAGTAAAGTAACAACTGGCAATTCAAAATTTCATGTTTGTTGGCATGTGATCCGTAGCGGGCCTCACAGGAGGAATTAGTCAATTGACACGAGGATTTAGGGGATTATCCGCGTAGCTCCTGTCTAACGGTTTCATATTTTTGTTGAATCTGTCAAGTTAGGAAATTTACATGGAGAATCAGTAAATTACCCACAAAGTTTGTGGGAATTTGGTGTGCAGTTGCCTGACAGGGAAAATTAGGCAATTGACACCACGAGTGAGCTGGATTTCCACTTAGCTTATGTGTAACTGTTTGATGCGTGGTGGACTGAGAAAGTTAGGAAATTTACCTCGAAAATTAGTTAATTAACCACCTCTGCTGCATAATTGCATGTTTGTGGGAATGTGGTTTGCAGCGGCCTCACAGGGAAAATTAGGCAATTGACATGAGCAATTAGCAGAATTTTGACTGTTCGCCGGTGTAATTGTTTGATCTGTGTTGGAGTGTGAAAGTTAGGGAATTGACATGAAAAAGTAGTTAATTAACCACCTCTGTTGCATAATTTAATGTTAGTTGGAATCTGATCTTTTGTGGCCTGACAATGAATGTTAGCTAATTTACACGAAGAATGGTGTCATTATCCAGTTAACCTGCATGTAACAATTTGATGTCCTGTCGTATGACAAGTTAAGGATTTAACAATAATAATTAGTGTGTATATAATTTCCGGGTTTATGTTACAAGAAATGTTGGATGGTATGAATGTTGCTGTTTAATGTACTAACTAATGACTTTGTGATTATTGGATACAGGAAGAAGATGGGAAAAAAGGACGCACAAGTTACCGGCTGGAAAGTATTCAAGGGAGAATATTGGGAGCAAAAGAAGCAGGAGATGCATGGAAATATGGGAGCAATCACAGATGCGGCTTCAGCAATTTGGAGGGAGATGAGTGATGCTGACAGGGAGCCGTACAGGAAGAAGGAGGAACAGCTGATAGAGGAGAAGAAGAAGAAGGAGAAATATGTGTCCCCATTTTCTACTCGGTGCTCCCCCACAAAATTCAAGGAAGTGGCAAAGTTTATAAATGGCAAAGAAAATTTAAAGCGCAAGGTAGAAGAAATGGGGTTTGGTCATCTTCTTGGTATTACTTTGAATAAGCTGCCCAGAGATTTATGTCTGGAGTTGATTCATGCATATGACCCCCCAAGTAAACAAATTACCATAAGGGGGAAGACAAAGAAGGTCACGTGTACAGATGTTAGGAGGGTTCTTGGGTTACCAGATAAGGGCTCCAAAGTGAAGTTGGATGGCTTCAAGGATGAAGTAAATGAGCTGAAGAAGGACTATACTCCACTGACATATTCTCAAATTGCGGAGAAGATAAAGAGTGATGAAGAAGATGGAAACTTTGAATTCTATTTTGTTCTTTTCACAGTGGGCACTCTTCTTTGTCCCACGGGAAGTGCAAGTGTGAGTGACAAGGTGCTAAAAGTAATGGCCTGCACAGAAAATAACTGAAAAAAATTTGACTGGGCTTCCTTTGTGCTTGACGAGCTTAGTGAGGAAATTAAACGGTACAATAGGAGCAGTAAGGAAGGACAGACCGAGAGTGCCAGAGTCGTCGGAGGGTGCATCTACTTTTTATTGGTACTTGCATATTTCCTTACAAAATATGCCCTGTTGGATATGCTTTGAACATTAAACTGTTGATGTATTATGTAATTTGATTTTTGAGTCATATTTTTTCTTTCTCTGCAGTTGCACTTCCTGCAAAGGTTCCCTCTACAGGGAGGTGAACCAAAAGACAAAGACGCCGTCACACATTGGGATGATAAGGCTGTGAAGAGGAGAATTGATGCGGAAAAGGAGAGTCGACATGGCATTTTCTACAGTCCACCCGCTGCTGAAGTGAATGAGTCAACACAACCGGGGAGCAGTACAAGTTTCCATCATCCGGTGAGTAATACCAATGTGATAATGTCTGTTGGTGAGACTTAATATCTGTTTGATGACATACATTTACAATGTGCAGGACATTAAGGAGTTTTGGCTCAATTTCAACACCACATTGAACAATGAGATGACCAAGATTCAAAACTTAGTTTGTGATGAATTAGTTAAGCTGGAAAATAAACTTCTTAACCGGGGAGGCAATGAAGAAGAAGGAAAAGAACACCACACTGAGGAGGATGAAAATGAGCGGCCACAACATGATGAAGTTATGACTGTAGAGAGCGGAGAAACACATGAAAGTGGTGACAAATTGCATGATGATGAACAGCAAGAAGAAGAAGAAGAAGAAGAGGAAGATGAAGACGAGAACGACAATGTGAGAGAAGATGAAGCTGCAAATAAGGATACTGAAGATGAACAGGCAGCTCAAACGGAAGAAGGGAAAATGGTGGGCAAAGCAGTGCAGCTACCCACAAGGAGGTCAAGTAGACGTAAAGTCCCAGCAGTTAAATCTCCTTACATGTCTACTTATGGCAGAAAGGTGAAAATGAGTGAGAGGGATGCATTTTATACTGTGTGTACTGAGTGGTGTCAACTAGATGAGGCTCAAGAGTAAGTATAGTCAGTTATTATGGAAAAGACAGCTTGTGAATAATACTACTATGCAACACTGACTACTTATTTTCACTTTCATATTTGTTGTAGGGTCATGGTAGATATGTTTGGGCATTTGGCAACACGATCAGACCTACAAGCACTGGGTCCCAGAAGGTGGATAAGCAACAGGGTACGTGCACCTATTCAAGTTACATCAAAGTGGCCATATATGGAATGTGCCACAATTTTAATTTAATTTTCCTGCTCCTTTATTCTACAGATCATGACTCTGATTGCCCACACCTTGAACGCTGACCAACATGAGAGTGCCTCTGCGGTTAAAAGACACATATTTGATGCAGATTTCACGGTTAGTGCTATCCCCTGTTAATGGATCAATGCTTTAAATTGTGCAATAAAGTTATCGATACAGTTTCTTCACTGACAATTTGCATTGCTGTGCAATTTGCTGTTGTGATAGGCAAGGATGGTGCAGCAACACACAGCATGGCAAGTGGACAAACACCTGAAAGAACTACTTCCCCAACACGTGGGATACAATTTGGCTGAATGTGAATACATATTTGCACCTGTTGTGTTTGCACTGCATTGGTTTTGCTTTGTGTTTGAACCGAGCACACTAAAGTTTTATGTGCTGGACTCTCTGCGTGGTGGTGAGGATACAATGAAGCACCAAAAGAAGAAGAATAAGTCTGATCCAGCATTAAAGGGGCAGCAAATGATGGCGCAAACTTTTGTAAGTGGTGTAATTATTCTGCTACTTTTGTGTTGGACAACCATAGTATCCCCTGTGTGATAATCATCTGTAATTGTGTAGAGGGCACACTTCATTGAAATACTAAGGAGAGTGAAGCCTGAGCTGGAGGGGTTGGCCAACCCAGATTCAAACAATGACATCTTGTATCCCACGGTTCATGTTCAAGACAATACGTGAGTCTTTTGTTCACTGAAAGTTATTTGTCATAAATTATAATCGACATACATAAGCCAGCATAGTGATGTGTTCATTTTTTCAGTGATGATTGTGGGGTTCATGTCATCACATATCTAAGAGAGTGGCCCAACCCACAAGAGAAGGATGGAGTTCTATTCACCATGCCTTATTATACAGCGGTAGGTGTTGAATTATATATTAATGACATCATGCATTTGTGTCAACTTACTGAGAACAGTTGTTGTTGTCCCATAGGATCAATACACATCTATACGGTGTGAGCTATTGTGGTGGCTCGTGACGCATCAAAGAAACATCAAGTCAGATGCTGTTACCAAACACCTTGACCACATTAACAGACAACGCAAGAGAAAGCGATGACTGATCAAATTCCTACCTTGTAGTTTTTGCTGATAAGCACTGTAATTGTTGTTGTGAACACTTTATGCGGACTAAAATGTTGTGCATACAAACGATGTTAATGAAGACTGTTTTGATGGATTCATATTATCACTACTTGTTTACTTTCATTAGATGTACGGTTAACAACAAAAATTAGGGAATTTGCACCAAAAAAACAGGAATTAACACCAAATGTTCGTCCATTTCCAACTGAACAACCTACATCAGGGATTAGACCTTTCAACGAACGATTAGACAATTTGCAAGAGAGACAAATAAGTTAACAACAGAAATTAGAGCATTCACAAGTGTCGTTCATCTGCTGAACAACGTGTCCTCTTAAATATGCAAGTGCCCTCCTTCACCTGAATAAGGTGTTCATTTCCATGAGGAACTAGGGAATTTGCTACTCCGATACATATATTCACAACTGTAATCAGTCCATTTACATGTGCCGTCCTTGACCTGAACAGGGTGCGCATTTGCAAGGGGAACTAGCCAATTTGCACAACACATACCAATATTCACACGTGGAATCAGTCCGTTCACATGTCGACTGGTGCAGCTGAAGCACGTGTCCGTGAGGGAACAAGTGCGGGAGAGCGCATTTGCAAGGGGAACTAGCCAATTTGCACAACACATACCTATATTCACACGTGGAATCAGTCCGTTCACATGTCGACTGGTGCAGCTGAAGCACGTGTCGTGGGGGAACAAGTGCGGGAGAGCGCATTTGCAAGGGGAACTAGCCAATTTGCACAACATACCTATATTCACACGTGGAATCAATCCGTTCACATGTCGACTGGTCCAGCTGAAGCATGTGTCCGTGAGGGAACAAGTGCGGGAGAGCGCATTTGCAAGGAGAACTAGCCGATTTGCACAACAAATACCTATATTCACACATGGAATCAGTCCGTTCACATGTCGACTAGTCCAGCTGAAGCATGTGTCCATGGGGGAACAAGTGCGGGAGAGCGCATTTGCAAGGGGAACTAGCCAATTTGCACAACACATACCGATATTCACACGTGGAATCAGTCCGTTCACATGTCGACTGGTCCAGCTGAAGCATGTGTCCGTGAGGGAACAAGTGCGGGAGAGCGCATTTGCAAGGGGAACTAGCCGATTTGCACAACAAATACCTATATTCACACGTGGAATCAGTCCGTTCACATGTCGACTGGTCCAGCTGAAGCATGTGTCCGTGGGGGAACAAGTGCGGGAGAGCGCATTTGCAAGGGGAACTAGCCAATTTGCACAACACATACCGATATTCACACGTGGATCATCACAAGTGCAGACGCATTTGCAAGGGGAACTAGCCAATTTGCACAACACATACCGATATTCACACTGGAATCAGTCCGTTCACATGTCGACTGGTCCAGCTGAAGCATGTGTCCGTGGGGAACAAGTGCGGGAAAGAGCATTTGCAAGGGGAACTAGCCAATTTGCACAACACATACCGATATTCACACGTGGAATCAGTCCGTTCACATGTCAATGGTCCAGCTGAAGCATGTGTCCGTGAGGGAACAAGTGCGGGAGAGCGCATTTGCAAGGGGAACTAGCCGATTTACACAACAAATACCTATATTCACACGTGGAATCAGTCCGTTCACATGTCGACTGGACCAGCTGAAGCATGTGTCCGTGAGGGAACAAGTGCGGGAGAGCACATTTGCAAGGGGAACTAGCCTATTTATAAAATACATACCTATATTCACACGTGGAATCCGTCCGTTCATATTGGCAAGGGGGACTAGCTAATTTGCAAGACACATACTTGGCTTCACATGTGGACTGATTCACCTGATGCATGCGTCTTCCTTAAGTGTGGGACAGCCCATTTACAAGTGGGACTAGACAATTCGCACCATACATGCATATTTTCACAACTATAAATAATCCATTTGCATCTGACCTACTCGTACTGAAGGAGGTGTCCGTGGGTGAACAGCTGTGCAAGGGCCCATTTGCAAATGAGATTAGACAATTTGCCACATACATACAAATATTTACAACTAAAAATAGTCCATTTGCATGCGGACTGATTCACCTGGAGAAGCTGTCCAAGTATGGTTTCTTATACCATTTGCAAGTGACATTAGACAATTGGCAACATACATATATATTCACAACTGTAATCAGTCCATTTACATATGACGACCTTCACCCGAAGAAGCTGTCCGTCAGTGGACAGGCAGGGGAATCTCCGTTTGCAAGTGACATTACACAATTTGCAACATACATACAAATATTTACAACTAAAAATAGTCCATTCGCATGTGGACAGATTACAGCCTAACATATCCTGCGACAGCTATAGTCACCTACTGTCATGAAATTTTTCAACTATTGACACCACTATACAAAATATAATCGAACCCACCACCAAAAAATCAAAATGGGTTGTCATAGCTACTTCCCCAACAACTCAACAACTACATAGTGGGGCTCATTTATGTACAAAAGTAGCTGTGTGTTGAACCAAAAAAATAAAAGACCATTTTGAGCAACAAAGTCACCCAGGGTTCGGGTTAGTGCAAATCTTTCTAGTGTGACCAGCTTCACCACATCCTGAGCAATGATACGCTTTCTTCTGCTGGAATTGTGATTCAATCCTCCTACCTCTGGGTCTTCCAGCACGCCGAGTTGTCAATGGTGGTTGTAGGAAGATGGTGGACGAGTAATCTTCATATCGAAGGGAATCTGGCCTAGGGATGTCATGGGTCTCAACTGGAATCATGAGTCTGCCATAAATTTTCTTTTGGGCTGAGAGTAAAAAGCAATCCTCGACATATGCATATATATTACCATATACCTTCTTGATTGCAGCACACGCATGTGGGCAAGGTAGTCCTGACATTTGCCAACCTTTGCAGGTGCATTCACGTAACACAAGATTTACCCGCACATCTAGGTTTCCCCATCTGACCCTGAAATTGTTCATTCCATAATTTTGCACATCCATTCTTTCTGATCTGGCCACATGATCCATCAACTTTTCCTCTATATTAGGTCCCACACCATTGCTCCAATTCGTCATGGCTTCTTTGCTGTGGTACATCTTGTTTGCCAATTTTTCCCTGTGCTCATGTATCAAGACAGCTATGTTGTGCTTCCTCTCACCAACAAGCCAAGCATTAAAGGATTCGCTAGATTTGTTGTGATATTGTCCCACCTCTTGTAAGGAAATTTGCTTTGTGCCCAACGGTCAATGTCTCCATTTGTTTGAAGCCATTGTCCTAATTCTGGACAAAATGCCATTAGCTTTTCCATACTGCAATCAAAGTCTCTATCAAGTCTTGCGTATGCAATAGAATCAAGTAATTTTAGTGCAACTTCCTTTGTCTGTCCGCTGGTCCTCCTCTTTCCCCTGGTTATCTTCAAAAACTCAGCACTGTAATTCTCCTTCACATGACGGTAGCAAAAAGCATGTCGATCTCCTCCAAACACGGCTTGCACTGCACCTTTTATTGAGTTGTGTCTATCCGATACTATTGTCACTTCTAATGAGCCCGTAATATCCTTTATGTTACCAAGAAACCATGCCCAGTCATCAAGCGTCTCACCTCCAACAATCGCATATGCAAGTGGGAATAATTCATTATCCGCGTCATACGCTTGTGCTCCCAATAACGTTCCTTTGTACGGACCACTCAAGTGGCATCCATCCACATATAATACAGGTCTGCCACCTTTCAAAAACCCTTCTACACAGCAACCGTATGCAATAAATACAGCTTGAAATCTATTATCTGATGATGCAACCCACTTTGCTACCGTTTCTGGATCACTTTCCTTCAGCCTTTCACATATCCAAGGGATTAGCATATAAGACTCCTGCGGACAACCATGAATTTTTTCCAATGCTTTCTCTTTCGCCCTATATGCTTGTTGGTAGTTGAGCCTCAACCCATACTCTCTTTCCAAATCCCGTCTAATGTCATTTGGAGCTTTGTGCATGCAAGAAATCAACTCATCTATTATGACTGCTGAAGCAAGTTTGCACCTCTTTCTCTGAGGGACAACTAAGTTGTCTTGTGCATAATGCAAGTGTTCATAGTTAAATCTTCTCACAACTAGGAATCCATTATTCTCACCTACACCATATGCTGAAATTTCCCAGGGACAACCATCTACACAGCACTTCACAATCATCTTATGCCTATCATTCTTTACGTACCGGTAACCAAACTTGTGTGCAAGGCTATACTTATATAATGCCTCTCTAAAATGTTCAGCACTAACAAAGGTTTGCCCTCTTGACATCAACAAATCTGCCCACTTTGATGAATTCATCACCGCTATTGGGGTTGGCAACGTTTCCATACCTACACTTCCTATCAGTGTTGGCACATCTTGTACGGAAGATATGTTTATGTTGTCTGTGTCTAGATCCAATTCCATTGCAGATACTGACATTCCACAAGGGCCAACCAAATCATCTAACCTGCATAAACAAATACAGCTATTCAGTATTACAGTTCAATTTATCAAAATTGGACATATTCTTTCTTATCCTACACACAATCTTAATAAAACCAGTTGAGAACAACTTACTCTTGTACACTGTCCAGCTGTGACACTTGTGTGAAGTCTTTCTCATTCTCACAAACATAAACATGGCCACTACTATTGTTGTACTCAATTACTTGTCCAACACCAATATCGTCAACAAGATCCAAGAATGTATCCCGGTCAAAGCTAACTGTGTACTTCATTTTATATTCACGAGTCCCTGGCCACACATCATGAGCTACCATGCATTGTAGTTCTTCATATGTCATCCCTTCTCTAATCAATCTTCCAGTAATGATGCCCCCTTCATAAATGAATTTCCCTTCTGAGGTCTTTACAAAGTGCCCTCTAACATGAAAGATGCAAAATACTTGTTTCCTACTACTGCTAGCCATTTATCCTCTGCTGCTGCACATCATTCAAGTATGACACAACGTACGTTTACATCAGCAATTTGACAATTGACAACAAGAATTAGTATTTTCACAACATTATATTGCTTTTTCTCGCACACAACCAGAATTACCAAATTTACCATCGTACTATGTATTTTCACCATTCCTCTGCGCGTCTACCTGTCATATAACCCATTCCAGGCCACACACCCATTTCCCTTTCTTTTTCGCCTACCTATGTTCCTTCAGCAGTGCATTATTCTCAATATGCACCCACTTTTGAAAACATCACAAACACCACATCTTTAACAACTTAAAACAGCATCAGCATGAATTTCTTAAACCATAAAACCGTAAGATTTGCAACTCACTCCCAACCTACATGCCCATGCACTTAAATACTCATTTCTTCCTCATTCACCCATCACAACCCACCTGTGCTAACCGAATCACACCAACAAAACCAAAATTTTAACAACAAAATCTTACCTCCCACGCCAACCTGACGCTACTTCCAGAGAACACGCAACACTGTAGGGCACACTTGCGACTTCTCTCTCTTGCACCAACTCTAGCTTGGAGTCCGAAAGACGGCGGAGGGACGGACCGCAAAAGTGAAGCTCCGCCACTGCGTTTTCTCAGCTCATGGTTGTCAGCTATCTCCCTTCCGCACCGGCGCGCTGCATGGGAGAGGCAGGAAATAACGCCATCTCCTCCCTTTCCGTCTTTCTTCCGTCTTTTACACCCGCTGATAATATGTCTCATTTTCGGAGGAAATAAGTCTTCATTAGGGGCAGTGGCGTCATTTCGCTTGTGGAATTAATATCAGATTGGCCCCTTGGTCCTGCAGTGAGATTTCAGAATGTTTTGGGGGCTCTTTGAAATTATTTGTCTTCTGCGGTCCTACAGTGAAATTTTCCCAAAAAAAACGAGTATAAACAGTTACCTCAAGTTATTAAATATAATTAAATTATCAAAATTAATTTTATAATAATTAAATTCATCAATATTAGTTTTATAAATGATGGGGTCTCCTTATGTTTATAATAATCTTCGTTTTTCTATGGGACAGCTTGGTACGCACTGCTAAATTAGGCAACAAATTGACGCAAACCAACTTTTCCCATTTGAGCTGCCAAAAATCACCAAAGAAGAGTTAGGTCCATTTGTTTGATTCACTTCTTTTATTTGTTCCTTTTCTTTAAAAATTGTTCGTTGATATCCATATTTTTCTCGTTGTCTTTTTAAATCTACTTTTTGAATTTCTTAAAACATAGTCCACAAGTTTGTTCATTACTTCTTGTCCTTTTTCCATTTGTTCTGTTATAATTCTAATTTGCTTCATATTTTCATCTAATATTTGAGATCTTATTTTTTCTTGGGAAAATCCCAAAAGAAATCTTTAAATTTTAAAATTTCAAATTGCCGTTATTCACTATATTTTAATAATAATTGACAACATTTGAAAAGTAAATGACAACATATTTTTGTAGTCATTCTTGATTTGATATTTTAAAATTTTAGAGTTTTTTTTTTTGGATTTTTCCTTTTTTCTTTAATATTCTCATTATCTTTCTCATTTTCCTCGGCTGTAATTCTTAACATTTTAATTTGCGGATTATTTTCTATTAGTTCTATTTTTGACTCTATTCCTGAAGCTTTCATAATATTTTTAGTGTTTCCTTTTAGATAAGCTAATTCATTAGTAAGATTTCTTATTTCTGTTTTTATATCATATATCTTCTGTTCTAACGGTTTTGCTAACTCTATTAATCTTTCTAATCTCTATTTTGGTTGTTCTTTGTCTATTACTAATTTTGCATCTTTTGGTAATCTTTCTATTATATCTTATGAAGCATATACTTTTAATATATCTTGAATATTTTTTTTTATGAAAATATATCTTGAATATTGATATTTATATAACATCCTAATTGTTTCATTAAATACATATATTTGTCCAGTTTACTTGGTTAAATGTACTATCTCCATCTCCTAAGATAAATGGGGAAAACATACATGTTTCATCTTCGTCTAAAGGCATATAAGAACTTATTGGTAGCTTATTGCTTTCTAGACATTATATTCTTGGTTCTACAGTTTTTATTGCATCCATTATTTAACTCGAATATTAATCAGACAATAATCAGCTATTCAAATAAATATACTAGATTATCAAATAAACAGTAAATAATGATTGCTTAAGCAATCAAATACTAACAAATATGATTAAGGTAAAAAGATATTTCTCAAGATCACGGATCCAAATATGATTCCTGAAGCAATCAAATGCAAGCAAATAAAAAGATACTGATTGCAAAAAGAGATTGATGAAAGCGTTTATGTAGTTTATGAAATAGGTAAAATGGTAAATAAATTGAATAAGGGAAGAATCATTCATAACATGTAATTAATAGCTCAAAACAATTTTCATCCATACATAAATAGAACAAACCAATAAGAAAGACAGAAACCAAGCCGTTAAAGATTAACAATGTCAACATAATTCTCATATTCATCTTCCAACAATTATTTAATTATTCTTCATTGCAATTAGGTTTTTCTTCAATGACAATAATATCAAGGATTTCATCTACCATCTAAAATAAAATCATGCAACCAGTTACAAGCACAAATGAAAGCTTGAACATTTGTTAAAATAAGAGAATTTCTATACTTCGTTAGCACACATGAACCAATGATAAGTGACAATTTATTGGCTATTATAGTTATAGAAATGCTAAAAATATCAACTGTCATCCTTGAAATAATTAGAAATTGATTTTGATTGTTCTTCAACTAATTCAAGACATCTAATTCTTTTCGATTATTAAGTTTCGTATTGGTTATTCTAAATAATTTTCTTGTCCAAACTTATTCATACAAGATTGATTCATAATTATATAGTTATTTTGATAATCCTACACCTTTAAAAGAATTTCAACTACATACTGTTATACTAGCCAAATAAAATTAAGCAAGTTTAATTGACAAAGAATTTAAATAATAAATACAGTAAATGCATCATAAAAAAATGTTGTTGTTGAAATACTTGAAGTATGAGAAGAATGACAAGTTGTAAGTGTTGAAACTTTAAAAGTTGATGAACTCCCAACTCTAAGATTAGTAG